TCATATACTGTTCCTTCATTACTCAAAATTATCATATATACTGTTCCTTCATTACTCAAAATTATCATATACTGTCCCTTCATTACTCAAAATTATCATATACTGTTCCTTCATTACTCAAAATTATCATATACTGTTCCTTCATAACTCAAAATTATCATATACTGTTCCTTCATTACTCAAAATTATCATATACTGTTCCTTCATTACTCAAAATTATCATATACTGTTCCTTCATTACTCAAAATTATCATATACTGTTCCTTCATTACTCAAAATTATCATATACTGTTCCTTCATTACTCAAAATTATCATATACTGTTCCTTCATTACTCAAAATTATCATATACTGTTCCTTCATTACTCAAAATTATCAAATACTGTTCCTTCATTACTCAAAATTATCATATACTGTCCCTTCATTACTCAAAATTATCATATACTGTTCCTTCATTACTCAAAATTATCAAATACTGTTCCTTCATTACTCAAAATTATCATATACTGTCCCTTCATTACTCAAAATTATCATATACTGTTCCTTCATTACTCAAAATTATCATATACTGTTCCTTCATTACTCAAAATTATCATATACTGTTCCTTCATTACTCAAAATTATCATATACTGTTCCTTCATTACTCAAAATTATCATATACTGTTCCTTCATTACTCAAAATTATCATATACTGTTCCTTCATTACTCAAAATTATCATATACTGTTCCTTCATTACTCAAAATTATCAAATACTGTTCCTTCATTACTCAAAATTATCATATACTGTTCCTTCATTACTCAAAATTATCATATACTGTTCCTTCATTACTCAAAATTATCAAATACTGTTCCTTCATTACTCAAAATTATCATATACTGTCCCTTCATTACTCAAAATTATCATACTATTACTGTTTCCTTCATTACTCAAAATCATACTGTCCTTCATTACTCAAAATTATCATATACTGTTCCTTCATTACTCAAAATTATCAAATACTGTTCCTTCATTACTCAAAATTATCATATACTGTTCCTTCATTACTCAAAATTATCATATACTGTTCCTTCATTACTCAAAATTATCATATACTGTTCCTTCATAACTCGTAGTTGACCTTCATAGCCAATTGGGTGGTCAGTCTTAATAGCCAATTGGGTGGTCAGTCTTAATAGCCAATTGGGTGGTCAGTCTTAATAGCCAATTGGGTGGTCAGTCTTAATAGCCAATTGGGTGGTCAGTCTTACATAACCAATTGGGTATAATAATAATAATAATAATAATAATAATAATAATAATAATAATAATAATAATAATAATAATAATAATAATAATAATAATAATAATAATAATAATAATAACGAAAATAGTAATAATAATAATAAAAGTCATACTGTAATAATAATAGTAACAATATCACTCAAGACATGATACTGAAACTCGAAGCACTGATCCCATAGACTTTAACACGTTTATTTGACTATTATTAAGAACATAAGAATGGTGGGAACTGCAGCGGGCCTATTGGCCCATACTGGGCAGTCCCGTTTACACCCAACCCCTATTGCTCATATAAGCATCCAACCTATGTTTGAAGCTATTCAGCGTATTCGAGTTAATGATGATATTTGGTAACTTGTTCCAGTCATCCACTACTCTGTTTCCAAACCAGTGTTTACCTATTTGGAAACAGTAGTGGATGACTGGAACAAGTTACCAAACATCATCATTAACTCTAATACGCTGAATAGCTTCAAACATAGGTTGGATGCTTATATGAGCAATAGGGGTTGGGTGTAAACGGGACTGCCCAGTATGGGCCAATAGGCCCGCTGCAGTTCCCACCATTCTTATGTTCTTAATAATAGTCAAATAAACGTGTTAAAGTCTATGGGATCAGTGCTTCGAGTTTCAGTATCATGTCTGGAGTGATATTTTGTTGCTCAGCTCACAGTACAGTACTGGAAAGGGCTGCATGACTTAGAGGCTGATGATTGAGGACTTGTGAGTGTTCCATCACCTGCTGGGCTCTAATACGATTTGTTTACCATTATAAGGTGTGATATGTATGTATGCGTGTATGTACAGTATAGCCCCTTCACTAGTGTGTTAACAGGGGTGTGTCATATAAACATTCCACAAATCATCATACTTGAGATATTTGTTTGAATAGTTTTAATTTGATTCCATTGTACGTTTACTATTGTGAGTTTTCTTCCGTCGAATGTAAAGAAACACAGGGTTACCACACTGCAAAACACCTGACGAGCCCCTGTAAACGCACGAGTGAAAGGAACGCGTATGAGTTTTAATCCATAAAGAAACTTACTGTAATAATGCCCAATATTTTTTTAATGCCGGTATTTGCGTTATATAGTCAGGCCTTCAACTAGCATCAACAAACATTTACAATAACAAATAACAAATATTTTTCTGAACCAAGTGATTATCAAATTTATAAGATGTTTTCCGTGGGGGTTAAATTTAAAAGCCAAATATCATCACAATTCCTTATGGTATTTAAAATTTTGGATACGTATTTGGACAAGGAAACAAATAAACTCATCTGACGTACCCACATGGCAGTACAGTAATGCAGGTCTAACTCAGTATAATTATCGAGTCTTATATTCACAGCTTGGACGGACGGCCGGGCATCTGGACAGCATTTCCGCTTAATAAATACTGAACCACGACTAAAATAACTTTGGCCTCTTTTGTTATGAACTAATTCCAAAACAACTGTATAGTAAAATAATAGCAGCAATCATGACCCACACATTAAGTAAAACGATAATCCTAGCAGCAATCATGACCCACACATTAAGTAAAACGATAATCCTAGCAGCAATCATGACCCATACATTAAGTAAAACGATAATCCTAGCAACAATCATGACCCACACATTAAGTAGAGATAATCCTAGCAGCAATCATAACCCACACATTAAGTAAAACGATAATCCTAGCAGCAATCATGACCCACACATTAAGTAAAACGATAATCCTAGCAACAATCATGACCCATACATTAAGTAAAGAGATAATCCTAGCAGCAATCATAACCCACACATTAAGTAAAACGATAATCCTAGCAGCAATCATGACCCACACATTAAAGTAAAACGATAATCCTAGCAGCAATCATGACCACAATTATAAAACGATAATCCTAGCAGCAATCATGACCCACACATTAAGTAAAACGATAATCCCAGCAGCAATCATGACCCACACATTAAGTAAAACGATAACCTAGCAGCAATCATGACCCACACATTAAGTAAAACGATAATCCTAGCAGTAATCATGACCCACACATTAAGCAAAACGATAATCCCATAGCAATCATGACCCACACATTAAGTAAAACGATAATCCTAGCAGCAATCATGACCTATACATTAAGTAAACGATAACCAGCAGCAATCATGACCCACACATTAAGTAAAACGATAATCCTAGCAGCAATCATGACCCATACATTAAGTAAAACGATAATCCTAGCAGCAATCATGACCCACACATTAAGTAAAACGATAATCCTAGCAGCAATCATGACCCACACATTAAGTAAAACGATAATCCTAGCAGCAATCATGACCCACACATTAAGTAAAACGATAATCCTAGCAGCAATCATGACCCATACATTAAGTAAAACGATAATCCTAGCAGCAATCATGACCCACACATTAAGTAAAACGATAATCCTAGCAGCAATCATAACCCACCCTAGCAGCAATCATTAAGTAAAACGATAATCCTAGCAGCAATTCTAATCCACAATAAATCCAATTATTCACCACCATGATTCAGAAAAAGTGTAAAATGATGGAACAATTTCACACACACCCTTGCATCTTACTGACTAGATTGACGCTTTAATCCTGTACTATATTTTCTACTGAAGAGGGCGTTAGTAGGCGTTCACACTGTACACTTGAAATACAATATGAGGGAGGTGAATATGCTCCCATCTTTTTAATACAATTCTGATTTATAAACTCGATGTGTACACCCATTGAGTATAATGAATAGTGGAGTATAAGGCCCTTTGAATTCACCCATTGAGTATAATGAATGGTACAGATCCCTTTGAATTCACCCATTGAGTATAATGAATGGTACAGATCTTGGTGAAATGTAATCAGACCTGGATAATAATGATCGCAGGAATAAGTTTAAATAAGGTGAATTATGAGATATGATTAAATAAGGCCAAAATAAGAATCAAATAAGATAAATATATAATGGTAACTGAAGATCAACTAAAATTTTGTAAATCTTAAAACTATTTCTAAAATTTGTGATGTGAAAGATTGTCATAAAAAGAATTAATTGTATAGTGAACCTCTAGTCAATAGTACCGGGGTAAGTCTTTCTTAAACTATTATTGCCTCTATTATAATTTGGTTTAGACTTACAAAATTATGTCTTTTTTATTGCATTAGAAATATGTGATAATATGAGCAGAATTTCATATTTATTCAATGGGAATTATTATTTTTTTTATCTCTGAATAATTTGTGGCATAATTATAAAAGTGTATTAATAAATTCCTGTGTAATGTATTGTGTATGTCCCTATTATCTGTGTATTTTCTTGTATGGTTTTACAGTATGTGGAAAATGATGACAACTTGGTTTGGTAACTAACATAGGGAGACTTGCTTTGGTTAGGTCTTGTCCACACACCTGGGGATCTCTCTTGACTGGACTGGGTGCTCACTAATTAATCAGGTATGTATGTAAGTATACTATACATAAATACATATATACAGTACATAAAAGAAGCCTATGTTATGTTATGTTATGTTTATGATAAATATTTATATTTCACTCTATAAAGAATAATTATTTTAATGTGTATTTTCATATATATATATATATATATATATATATATATATATATATATATATATATATATATATATATATATATATATATATATATATATATATATATATATATATATATATATACTGTACTGTAACACATAAAAGCTATATTTTAACTTTTTTATAAATAATTTTAGATATAGTTCTGATAACATTGAGGAGATAAATAGTTGTGGAGGTTTGTTAACAATATCAGCCCACTACTGTACTGTACTCACAACAGTATAACACTTCTATCAAAATGAGCCGTAAAACATGATACAGTAATGCTTTTAATCCCTTAAAATAGTGTTCCAATGTGTCACTAACTATGAATATTAGACTGATTATTCAAAATCACTTAACTGACATAAAAATATCTGCAGTCATATTGTACACTTGACCCACATCTGGGATTTGCACAATAATTACCGTCTGAGTGATCATTGATTTGTTCCAAAGTTTGCGAGGCTTGCTGCATGTCCACAACAATTTGCAGAGGTAGCGCTGTGCTGTCACCAGCCAAGACAGTGCCGTCAACAACAACAACACTGTGTCCAGGGGGCCAACTGACCATCACCTCACCACAAATCCACAACCTTGACAATGACCTTAATCCGTATGAACCGACGCGGACAATCTCAGACTTGACTAAGACAACGTATAAACTTTTCATGCCTGAGGGCGCTGACAATATTCCAGTATTTCTGGACAACGTTTACTGGCAAAATTCACATTGTAAATCAACAGAATATTAACGATAAATCCAACAATAATATCAAAAGTGTGAACATGAACATTACAACTGTAGATGAAGGTAGAAGAAGTAATGAGTGGGTGAGTGTATTACTTGAGGGTGGGATGGTAGGTGGGTTGTGGTGAGTGTGAGTCAGACGCACAGGGTAAGGGATATGTCTTGCTTCTTGGCTGGCCAGCACAGCAAACACTGTGCAGTCCAAGTCACAAGATGGCAGCACTCAATGATCTAATATCTGAATGGAAGAAATTGAGTCAACTAGTAAAAAATTAAGCAATATGGCATAGGAATAATAAAAACCAGTATCCTAGAAAACTAGTTGTCTAACTATATACACAGGTTTAAAGTCTCTGGTATCAAGATTCATCTAAAAGGGCAATAACATCTCCAGTCTCAAAGTTCATCTAAAAACTTGGAAAAACAACAAGCAAAGTTCTCCCACAAGGAGCATGATAGCTGGGTATCACAAGGTGAACGTGCATACAGTACGAGCAACTGGTGGTGGTGGCCTCAACAGTCACAGTCTGGCCCCTTGTCCTCTACCACACTGCCTCACACTGGCTCCCACACTGCACCATACACACCAATTGTCATATAAGCTCATCCTTGGAGCAGTGCCCCATTTCTGCCTCTATAAAATAGTTGGGTGGTGGGCCTTGATTCCAGCCTGGCCTGTGGACACTACACCCCGTGCTGCTGAGTCAAACCATGCAGAACTTGAGGACGTGCAGGAGTGTGGTTGTGTGGCAGAGCTTTGGAGGGTCCCGGTTGAGGGTCGTTTAGGCTGTCCGGGGTGAAGGCTGTAGTGGCATGGGGACCCTGACCCCCACTCGATGGGCCTAGGGAAGTCCCAGAGCCCTGCCGCAGCCCTCTGGAGGGTAGAACACCAGCTGCGGGCCCCGCTAGTGCATGGGGATTAATGTGGTGGAGAGTATGGAGGTGGTGGGAGGACGTGGTGTCTGTAGTGGACCCTTCACTGAGGACGCGGCCATAACGAGGCCACCCACACCCTGAGATTACCGCCAGCACCAAGGACACCACCCCGCATGCACAGCCACAAAGCTGTAACAACACCACGCACACACTATTACTTAGTGACTACACAAAAATTGGCTAAAAAATGATGAAGTTGGACAAAATAGAGTACTGGATATTTTCCAAAAAAGTTTAGAGAAGCAACGTTATCAGTGTCTCTAAAACTTACCATTTCTGTTGGTGAAAAGAACTCATTGGAATCCAATCTGACAAATACATGATAAAGGCATTATATTACCTTTCACACTGTACAGACAAGGAGGACTGATAAAAAATATGACCAAATGACTACTTTTTTCAGTCTATGAATTACTCTTTACATAATTTAGTAAGACAATGATCTCATGCCCACTCAAGCAAATAGTATAGCCCTAGACTAGCACTACAAACTGTACTGTTGACACTAAACTATCATCACTAAAACTGACACAGGGATAATATGATATCTAACAGTCGTGTAAGTATCTATAGTAAGATGACATAAACAAGTATGTAGTGATACCCAGCTGTAGGAACATCCCAAGTCTTACTGTGGCAGGTGACGCCAGCTATCAGAGGACAGTACTGACAAGAAACACACACTATCAAGGACGTACCGATGTCGTTAGGAGCTGTTGCTTGGTCCACGCAGGGATCCAGGGATATGTGGTATGGTAGAGATGCAGCAAATGCAGGAGCAGTGAAGCTGATACCAAATAACACACACATACAAACACATAAATGACCGTCACCTGAAACAATTAAACACAGCGTTAAACTTTGTAAAGGACGACTAGTAACCATCAAAGAATATGATCTGACAGTGCTAGTCTCTGCTTAAACTAGG